TGGTAGGCCATGTGGGATCCAGGTCCCTTAACTAGGCCATGGGGCTGGCCCATTGGTTTATTGAAAAACATCTTACAGAAGGTGAGAAGTCGGGGCCAGCAGATGGCATAGTGGTGAAGGTACCAAACTCCCATGTGGCTGACTCCCATTCTAGTCCTGGACCCAGAGGCTTGAAAATCATGCTAGACACATACGCGCATTCCCCTTTCCCATTTCTTTCAGATTCAGTCATTTCATTATATTTGATCGGAATTCATAAAATAATACCTGTCATGTACAAGTAAGGTTCTAAGAGTCTTGTGTTTATGTTGTCTGTAATACCCAAACCCTAAAGTTAGTAATACTGTCTCTTGTTAAGCAGAGGAAAAATGTGTACGAAGGTCAGGTACTCTTAGATCTTACTGTTAGTAAGTAGCCCAGGGACCAGCAGTTGGCATAAGGGCTATGTCGCTGGACTCCCATGTAGTCAACTGCGGTTTGAGTCCCAGATCCAGTGGCTTAAACTCACACTGAGCACGTGTGTATGCATGTCCATAATCCCAGGAGGAGAATGGAAGAGAAGGGATTGTGGCACGGGTATTCCCCCTGGGGGGGTTGTGTGTGTCATCTCTCACTTTCCCTCTCTCCATCTCTCTCTGTCTCTGGAAAGCCCGTGTGCCCTAAGGCAAACACCTAAAAAACAAAGACAGCGAGAAGTCAGGATACAAACCAGCAGCGGATATTCACGATGCACCCCGGAGGTTAGCGTCCAGATCATAAGCGCACAACTAAACCACGGACGAAGCATGAACGGGCATTTCGCCAGGGAGACATGGGGCCACAAGACACGTGATCATATGTTTAGCCTCATCAGTGATCAAGAAAATAAAAAACAAGCCTATTATTTCATACTTTTTCAGTCAGAACAAAAATTTTTAAAAGACCGAAAACATAAAACGTTGGCTTTCTGGGACCTTTCATGTATTGCCATGGGGCTGCAGTTAGGGTAATGACTGGAAAGAAAGAGGTCAGCATTTTCTCCTGCAGCTGAATATTCACCTACTTCATACCTCAGCAATTCTACTCCTAGATATATTTCCAAGAGAAGCTAGTCCTCATGTGGAGGAGAAGACATGTATGGGAATGTTCATAGCAGCCCTGTTCTCAGTAGGAACAACGTAAAGGCCTGTCAGTGGGAGGTGATGAGTAAAGCACGAGATAGCCACCTGGTGGAATACTATACAGCAATCAAAAATGAAATACAGCAGCAAGTGATAATATGGGCAAATCTTAGCAATATAATAGTAAGTAACCAAAAAACCCCAGAGATTTTATATATTTTATACTTTAAAAATATTATATGTAACATATTTATATACTTACATATTGTGTGTGCATATGTGTGTGCATACATATATATATATATGTATGTATATATAAAACAACTAAGGGCCAATTGGTGGCATGGTGGTTAGGACGGTTAGATCCAGCAGCTGGAGGAACACACCAGGCACATGTGCGTGCATGCCCAAAACTCCTGCCAGGAGGGAGAATGGAGAAGGGACTGTGGTGTGACCATCCCTTATGGGAGTGTTTTCTCACTTTCCTCTCTTTCTCTGTCTCTCTCCAGTAAGTGTGCATACCTTCTGACAAGGTACCCAGGCTTCTCACTGTCTTTGTTTTTTAGGTTTTTGCCTTAGGGCACATGGGCTTGCCAGAGAGAGATGGAGAGAGGGAAATAAACCATTTAAAAAACTAAAGTAGGGGTAGGCGGTGGCGCAGGGCTAAAGCGCGAAGCTGTGTGAGGTGGACCTGCCTGGAAAGGTTCTGGGTTTGCCTGTGGAGACCTCCCAGAATGCACCAGGCACACATGGGCCTAGGATCCAGGACCGGCTGAGGCTGGGGCGGATGACATCAAGTCCCTGTTGGGAGTATTGTCTCTTTGTCTCTTTCTCTCTCATCTCTCTCACTCATGTAATACCTCTGAAAACAATTAAAATAAGAACATTTACTTTCACGAATACATAGAACATCTTTTTTTTTTTTTTCATGATGGAGAAAGGAAAGCCAGGGAGTTGTGGTCACAGGATCCCTGGGGCCGATTTCCTCCAATGCTGGGGTCCCGACCGGGCGAGGCAGGACCGGTGCGGCTGGATGCAGGAATCATCAGCCTTTATTTCAGGCGGTGGTTTCATAGGTACTGCCTGCCTTCGTTTAAATAGCTCATTAAATTGCTAATGAATACAAATAAAGCTCGAATAGCCCAGCCAGAGCGTTAAAGATGATGATGAAGTGGACGGCAGAACACAGCAGAAGTCAAAGGTACTCCAGCCGTGGCGGTGAGCAAAAAGTGGGCGAGCTGAGCAGGTGGTGCGTGGGCACGCCGGGCGCACGGGCTGTGCAGGCGCCGCGGGAGGCAGGCTCTGCAGGATGCGCTAAGGGGGACCGGCGTTGGAGGAACGCCGGGGCGCAGGTGGGGGAAGTTGCTAAGGGCTCTTTGCTAGTTGAGCAAAGCGCCCAGCTCTTCATATTTGGCTAATCCGGGCTGACTCAAACAATGCAGGAGTCTTGATGGAGCCCCCCCCTCCCTGGGGGCTTGTTACTCACCTCCTTGGAGGGCGAGGGCAGCTCCTGGCGGGAGTGAGGTTTAGACAAAGTCTCATTGTTCCCAAGATTATCTGCGCCTTCTGGGCCTCACCCTGCCTCTCCAAGTGGGGAACCCTCCCTCCCCCAGTGGGCCAGGCCTTCAGGTGGCAAAACAAGGGACCAGTAGGTAGTGTAATGGTTACGTTGTTAGACTACCACTGTGGTTCCATCTGAGTCCCAGACCTGGCAGCTTAAAACTCATGCTTGACATTTTTGCATCGGGGCCCAAAATTCCAAGAGGAGGATGGAGGAGAAAAGATTGTAGTGTGGCCATCTCCCCTAGGGGTGATTTCTAGCCTTCTGTCTCTCCAGCATACACATGTGCCCTATAGCAAAAATCTCTCTCTATAATAAGTAAGTAAAGAAATAAATGACAAGACTACCTAGTGAGGGCGGGGCCCCATCTCTGGTGGCTTGTTCTGCTCAGTTCTGGCACTGTCCCCACCTCAGTGACCCCATTCCCCTCTGACCATCCTCCTCCATTGTCCCCCGCCCTGGAGTTTGCCTGAATAGGGACCCCCAGGAATCTTCAGCCTGGTGCTCTGGGTAGGTCTCTGCTGTCGCTGCATTTTCAGGTTTGGATGGGAAAGTGGTGGGTGAAGGGAGTTTTCCATCAGAGATAGCAAAGACTTGGTTAAATCAGGGAATCAAAAACAGGAGCGAGTGCCTTAACCTTTTCATCTCATCGAAAATCTGTAAATGGGGGCCGGCCAATGGTGTAGTGGTTGAGTGGCTAGACTCCCACACGGATGACCGCGGTTGGAGTCCTGGACCGGTGGCTTGAATCACACACCGGGCGCATGTGCATGCATGCCCAAGATCCCAAGAGAAAAAGGGATTGTGGCCTGGCCATTCCCCTGGGATATGATTTCTCACTTTCCCTCTCACCAGCTCTGTTTCTCTCTCTGGGGAGCACACACACTCTAAGGTAAAAACTTCCTAAAAAAGAAAACTTAGAAAATCTGTAAATGGAGGGTCAAGGCCTCTCCTTGAGGGTGTCATCTGTAAATGGAGGGCCAAGGCCTCTCCTTGAGGGTGTCCTCTGATCTCATGGAGTTTGGTGGCTTTTTTCCATAAATTACACCTATCCATGTCTCCTGGTTCCTGTGGGCTCACCCTGTAAGTCGTGTGTCTGAAAATAGGGCTACATTCTCTTTCAAGAATCCTTTGGGGTCAGCCCCCTAGTACAGTGGTTAGGGGAGCCAAATCCCACATGACAGACAGAGGTTCAAATCCCAGCCACGGTGGCTTGAGAAACACGCTGCAGGGAACCAGCAGTTAGCGTAATGGCTATGTCACTGGACTCCCACGTAGTCGACCGTGGTTCGCGTCCCAGACCTGGTGGCTTAAAACTCACACCAGGCGCGTGTGCGTGTGTGCCCAAGATCCAGAGAGGAGAATGGAGGAGAAGGGATTGTGGTGTGACCATCTCCCCTGGGGGGTGATTTCTCGCTTTCTGTCTCTATGTCTCTCTGTCTGTCTGGCGAGCGCACACACCCTATAGCGAAAATCTCTCCAAAAAAAAAAAAAGGAACACGCTGCACACCTGTGTGTGCATGCCTCAAATCCCAGCAGGTTGGAGAAGTGGAGGTGGGACCAATGGTGTGGCCATACTCCATTGAGGGCGCTTCAGCCTCCTGCCCCTCTTTGTCTCTCTGCATCTCTCTGGAGAGCACACACATCCCCTGGCAATAAACATTTTTAAGAGCACTTTAGATTTTTATGAAGACCGACTTTCCAAGGAGCTGCCACCAATTTGCAGCTGTTTTTGCCAGACCCTTAAGAGTTTGGGGCAGGAGGCCAGCAGATGGCATGGTGGTTAAGGGCACTGGACTGCCACATAGTCGACCGTGGTTCGAGTCCCGGACCTGGCGGCTTGCTTTCTCACTTTCTCTCATTCTCCCACTCTGTCCCTCTCTGGTCAAATTTAATTAATTTATTAAGTTAAATAAAATAAATCTAAAAAAGAGTTTGGGGCAGGCAGGTGTCCCCACATTTCACAGCTGGAGATGCAGAGGCCCAGGGGCTGTTGACTCCTCTGGGCACGGTCAGGCACCAGGGCACTCTAGTCTTTTCCTGCCTCCTCAGGGAGCTCTGGGACACCCAGAGGATGTCCAGGGGTTCAAGTCCAGGGGTTCACTCTGGCATCTGAATTCTCCCCTTGCAAACCCTTCCCGGTCTTGGAGCCTCGGTGCTGTCATCTGTAAGAGGGGTGACAACATCTCCCTCCCAGGCTCCCACCAGGAGCTAACAGGCCTGTGAGGAGCAGTGGCCTGGGGTTCATGCCCTTCCTTCCTGCCCTGGGGTCCCGAAGCACCCACACTAGCCCTGCCAGTCGCTGTTCCTCACCTCCCCTTCTCTCCCTTCCCCTCCAGCTTCACTTGGCTCTGTGGACACGTGCACCGGAACATCCTCTCAAAGTTCACGGGCCAGGCGGTGGAGCTGTTTGACGAGGAGTTCCGCCACCTCTACGCCTCCTCCAAGCCCGTCATGGGCCTGAAGTCCCCCAGGCTGGTCACCCCCCTGCAGCCCACCGAAAGCCTAGGGGTCCCAAACGGCCACCTCAGTGGCAGCAGCTGCTCAGCCAGTGACCGCACGTCCTCCAACCCCTTCAGCAGCCCGTCCACGGGCAGCAACCCCCAGAACCTGTCCGTGTCCTCAGGGCCCAGCAGCCCCCTGGTCCCTAACCCAGCCCCGGCCCCCAGATTCCAGCCGTATGCTGGCCCGTGGGGAGCCCTGTCTGCGCAGGCCCACCTCCCTCCGAGGCCCCTGGATGGCCCACTTGCTCCCTACTGCAACCTCAATGCCTACCGGCCCACACGGCTGCAGCTGGAGCAGCTCGGCCTGGTGCCGCGGCCCAGCCATGCCTGGAGGCCATTTCTGCAGGTGTCACCTCATTTCTGAAGGCCCCTCCGGCTGCCCTCCAAGCCAGGGCTGGGCAGTGCCCAAGTTCCTGGCCCACCTCGATGACCACAGCTGCTGCCCTCGAACTGAAGGCGCTCAGTCAAAACCACTGCCTCTCATGTTTCCCAGACCCAAGACCATCCACTGGCCAACCCCGCAGCAGTCCCTGAGTTCCCTTCCCTAGTCTGGCCTGTGGAAATACATTCCAGAAAGTTCCAGGAAGGTGTATGTGTGTGGGGGAGCAGCTAGAGGTCTTCTACAAATCATCCCGAGCTTGAATACAAGTGGCCCCCCAATCTGTATGATATAGGAAGAAGCTGATCCAGCCTGAATCTTGTGAAAGAGTAGACGGAGGCACCGAGAGGTACAAAGTGGGTAGTACTTCCGTTTCTCATTTCCCAGGAAGGGCCACTGCCCCAGGACTCAGGAAAGGAAGATTCAAAGAAAGTGTGGAGACAGGGCCAGCCAGTGACAGGTGGTTAAGGCGGCTGATCCCACATGGCTGAATACATGCAGTTTGAGTCCTGAACCTGGTAGCTTGAAAAACATGCTGGGCACGTGTGTGTGCATGCCCAAAATCCCAAGAAGAGAATGGAGAAGGGATTGTGGTGTGGCCATCCCCCATGAGAGATGCTTTCTCCCTTTCCCTCTCTCTCCGGCAATTGCACGTGCCCTCTGGAAAAAAAAAATAAAACAAAAAGCATGTGGACACGCTAGATGTTTCTGAGCTATTGGGGAAACTTGTCCTCCCTGGGAAGGCCAATCCTGGGACATCCCTGGGGTCAATGAGTTGGATCCCAAAACCAAAATGACCCATTGGTTCCTAACGGCTTTCAAGTCAGCGCCGAGGATGCGGCCTCCGCACAGTCCCGCGCCGAGGCTGCGCCTCCCCAGCCGATGCTGAGACGAGGTTAGAATTGCCAGCAGGCCTGAGCATCCTAAACTGGATTTCACAGTCGGCTGAGGAAGTTCAAGGACAGTGAAGCTTCTGCGTGATAAAAACCCCCAGGCTCAGCTTGTCCAAGGCCTGCTCCACCTGTGCTTGAGTCCGGCTCAGTCCTGGGGGACCTGTGGGGACAAGCCCCCTCTACTGACCACTCTCTGTAGACTGTTTCCCGTGGGCCTCTTAGGGATGTTCCCACATGTGCTGTTTCCCCTCTGGGCCCTGGAAACACTGGCATGCCCTGTCTGCTGGGGGACGGGTTAGGTAGGATTTGCTTTCACTAGTGGATGTGAAGGGAAGCTTTGAGGGCCTGGGTTATCACACAGAAGCACACCAAGTTGAAGTCCTCCACCAGCTGGGTTCCAAGTGAAACAATCAGCACAACACCCCACCCACCAACCCACGATGGATACGTGGTATGTGCAAGAAATAAACCTTTGTTGTTTAAGACACTCCGATTTGGGGATGTTTATTCCTGCACCGTGATCCAGCTTGGCCTGGCTGAAACCACCTCTGAGACCCACTGCCTGGGGGCTGGACCACTCCTTTGTGGGACTGGAGTCCCACAGGGCCCCAGTCCTGGGCTCTCATTCCAAGACACCATTTCCGGCAGTGGACTAGTAGTGGTTCTACACACCAGGCAGTGCGGTGGCTGAAAGCCAGACAGGCCCTTATCCAAGCTGTAAACCCTCCCACATCTGGTCGTGACCGTCTTTATTTCTGCTCCAGGTTATAATCACACCTGCACGGCCCCTGGCAGGGCTGCTCGCTGGCGACTGAGCTTCAATATACAGAGACCCTGCTGTTGCGGGACGGCTTCTGTGGTGAGATCCAGCTTCTTGGTGTTTGGAGAACTGAATGAAACACGCCAGTAGTGAAAGGAAACGGTAGTTTATTAAGTAAAAGTGAAAGTGCACTCCTGAGAGGTAGGAACGGGCCTGACCAAGACAGAGAGAGAGTGGATCGAAGGCCCTGGCAGCGGCATTCTGTGAGAGTTATCATTTTTAATCTAGGCCATGCAGGTTGATCATTGGCTGGACCTCATCTCATTGGCTCTATCAAATGTGGCTGGGCCCACTGCTCCATCTCATTGGCTCTATCAAATGTGTCTGGGCCCACTGCTCCTTCTCATTGGCTCTATCAAATGTGGCTGGGCCACTGCTCCTTCTCATTGGCTCTATCAAATGTGGCTGGCCCACTGCTCCTTCTCATTGGCTCTATCAAATGTGGCTGGGCCACTGCTCCTTCTCATTGGCTCTATCAAATGTGTCTGGGCCCACTGATCCATCTCATTGGCTCTATCAAATGTGGCTTCATTAGCTAGACACGCCCCACTATCTCCTGCCTACATTATTTTGGGCAGGGAATTTTCCACCCTGATTGGTTTTTCTGTCTGGCCACATGGGCAGATGCTCCAGCCCCCTTACCCACTTCCATTTGCAAGCTGTCCCCTGCCTCACTACGACAGTGTGATCAACGGCAGCAGCTGGGCACC